CTGGGGGGCGCTGCGGCGGCGGCGCGGATCCCGAGTTTTGGCGGTCTGTCCGTCTGTCCGCCAGCGCTCCTGCTGCTCCTGGGATCCTCGGAAAGAGCAGAGCTCGTCTCTTCCTCCTGTTTGGACAAAAAGGCGGTCGCCGGCTTCCAGCCTCTCCCCCGTCGCCGAACTGCGCGGCGGAGCGTGGCCGGTGAGCAGCCGGAGCCTTCCCGCCGCGGCCCGTGGTCACACGGAGTTGGTATCGCCCCAGGTGCTCCCTGAGGGGCCGCGGAGGGAGGAAGGCGGGCTCGGACAGCCTCGGTGCGGGTGGCTTTACCGGATAAATATAGGCTGGCACGTCTCGCAGCGGCGCTTCTGCGACTCGCAGGAGCACCGCTCTTTTTAGGCGCTCCAAGAGCGCTGTGGAAGCGTGTCCCCCAAAAGTCTTGGTGGGAGGGGACGGGGAATGGCTCTTGAGCGCTCTTGCTGTAAAGCGGGGTGATTGCCCAGGAGTACTGGCGGTGATGTGCGGCTGAAGCGCGTTGCCTTGTGTAAGTGTGAAGCTGTTTGGATGCTGCTTGCAGATGCTGCCCGACTGGGGCTGATGGTGTTGCCGGGCCGAGTGCTGTTCCAGGCAGCGGGTGCAGGATGATGGAAGACTTCAGGAATATCGCCGACGAGACGTTCCCGAGCTACTTGGGCCATTCCTTGAACAGCAGCGCGAGTGTCGATGTCACCGTCTCCTCCAACCCGGGGTTACCTGTGGCGGCCTCCACTGTTGCCAGGAGCCAAGCGGGCGGTGACAACAGGTGAGGGTCTCAGTAAGTGCCACTCAGTAATACAAGAAAACAGCTGAAGCATTTAACTCTGGACAGCAGAAATTAATTTCACAGATTACTTGGCCCTTGATAGAACTGTTTAGCAATCAGTGTCTCAGTAATCAGCAAACGTCTGTATTACCAGTGTAAAATTTGCGTGTAATTTGTAACCAGTACATACTTAACATTTACAAAAAATGCCCTTCACAAGTAATTTAATTTTTAGCCTGTAACGGCCAAGTCTCTTTTTGCTCAGCTCTTCAGCTGACTTATACTTGAGTTTGAAGTTGTGTAAAGAATAATATGTTTTTCACGTGTGTGTTCTCTGTTAACTGTTCTCTGACCTTACCTGAATCTGGCTCCTTTTAGAAAGTGTAAGAGCTACTGTTATGTATAAGAATTAAAACTTGCTCAGCAAGGAGTAGAGCAAAGAGTAGCAATTTGAAGCCTTTGCACTTAACTGCTGTCCTATTACTTAACAACAAGTAAGATGAGACTTTAATACCCTGTCTTTCCAGAAGTGTGTGTTCCAGAAGGACATCACTAGCCACTAAAATCTGTAACGTGGTATTTCTCTAAAGAGCTCCAGAAGACTGGAGAGGAGCATTCAGGATACATATGTGTATCTGTAGAGACAGATTAGCTAAAATATTGAAGTAATTTAACTTACAGGAAATAAGTAGTCATCAGTATGAGTCCCACCCCCCAGTTCTTTGGAAAACAGGAGCAGTGCATATTAGAATGACTCTGATGTCTGTTTTTTCACCCCACATTTACAGGCTTCCTGATGATTGTGCATCCTATTTGGAAGGGAAACATTCACCTTTATCAGCATCTCCTCTCAGCAGTCAGTCACATCCTGAGCCAGTGGAAAGATTTGCTCTCAGCTTTCGTGATGACATGTAAGTGAGGTAGTTAAAATACAATTCTGTCCTAAAATGCAGATACCAGTAAGTTAGTATGTAGATTTATGCCTACTGTATGGCTGATTATGAGCTACTTCAGAGTTGAAAACAGGACCTTTTACTACTGGCTTGCAGTAACTGGAGACCTCAGCTGTGCATTGGCCTATTAGCTTACAGTGTTTGGCAGCCTGGACAGCTTTTCCTACAAAAACAGCTCCTCCATGTTTTGTGAAGAGGCCTAGTGCTAGGCCAGGTGCAAGCACCCTCTGCAGTGATTGATGCCACTTAGCCTGTGCAGCCCTACACAAGTAGCATTCTGCTGTTTGACTAATTGGACTTCATGTACGTGACAGGAATGAATCTTTAGAAGGGATGTTTTCTAGACTGTGAGGTTTTGTTTTGTTGTCACACTAATAAAAAATGT